AGGCTTAGAAGCGATGCATTAGTAATGAGCTTGAAGCTCTTTAAGTACATCCAAGAGGGGTAGGAAAAGGATGGGGAAGGGAATCGGGGGCAATCTCTAGGGATTGGGGGTAATCCCAAGGCAATCTCCAATTGGTGGGTTGGAGATTGGTTGGAGATTACATTTGGGTTTGGTTGGGATGTAGGTGTACACCCAACCAAACACAATGTGCAAACTACACTACTCTAGGATATAGAAAATACAAAGTACAAATTGTGAGATTGAAGACTAACACTAACACGCGTGTATCTGGGTGCACGTCTGTTTGTGTGGGTGTGCCCGTGAGTGCATGTGCTTGCTTGCACAGCCCCGTAGCATCTCGGCGTTCACCTTCCACTTGTTCTGCACCTGTGAGGGTGTGGGGAGTGGCGTGTGAGTGACTTTTGAGTCGACTCAAAAGTTGACTTCGACTTTTGAGTCGACTCAAAAGTCACTGACTTTGACTTTTGAGTCAACTCAAAAGTTGACTTTGACTTTTGAGTCAACTCAAAAGTTGACTTTGACTTTTGAGTCGACTCAAAAGTCACTTGTTCTGCACCTGTGGGGGTGTGGGGAGTGGCATGTGAGTGTGCATGTGTGTCGCTTTGCATGTGTCTGTGTGGATGTGCTTGCTTGCACGGCTTCCTCAGCATCACCGCAGTGCCGTGATCGCAATAGATTGAACGCGCAGACCATGATAGATGTCACTTGGATGGCAGGCATGCACCTAATCACCTTTCGAGATGACTTTTGAGTCGACTCAAAAGTCACTTGGATGTCATGCATCTAGTCCCCCTTCAAGGGATGCATTCCTCAAGGGGCAAGAAAAGCATTTGCTTTTGAGTCGACTCAAAAAAAGCACACCCAACTTTCCGCAGACCTAGCTGCGGGCAAGCTTAACGAGACCACATTGTGAAACAAGACCGCCAGCAGCAACCGAAGCCAACTTTGAGGATGAAGAAGAATAAGGTGATATTGAGGTGACTTCTGAGTCGACTTAAACATCGCAAGCCTAACGAGACTACATTGCGAAACGTGACACCACCAGCAACCGAAGTCAACAAAGAACAGGATGAAGAAAATAGCGGTGATATCAACAGTCTGATTGTTTAAGACGACAACATTGGCAAGAGGAAGCGGAAAGTTGTGGCGAAGAGAACAAAGGGGGGGAAACATGCCAAGACGATGAGCATGGAGTCTATTTTGACCCACTCACCTGCATGACGACCAGCATGAAGTCCCCTTGCGCATGCAACCGAGTAATGGAAAGAGGAGAGTATACACCATCACTACCCCCATACACATTCCACCCACCATCACTTGTCAACCATCCCACCCACCTGCATGACCACGAGCATGGAGTCCCCTTGCACGTGCAACCGAGTAATGCCAAGAGCCAGTGCCAGCTCCAACCCCCCTATGAACGCGCGGTACTCTGCCATGTTGCACGTGCCGTGCCCCACGCCCTCCCTCATGCACACCAACTGGTGGGGTGGGGAGTGGGGGGTTGGGGAGAGGGGGTGGAGAGGGGGGGGAGAGAGAGGCGGAGAGAGGGGGGGAGAGGGGGGGGGGAGAGAGGGGGGGAGAGAGGGGGGGAGAGAAGGGGGACGTATGGGGGGGAAACGGTTGAGAATAGCGAGAACGGATGTGGGGGGTCCCACAGTCCAAAGGTCGACTCACCTCGTTTTCCCGCTCGTCCTAGAGGACATATTTTTGAGCCGACTCAAAAGACACCTCCTTCCCAAACCAAAGCCCGACTGTCTCACCTTGCCCGCGTGCTCGTCCCTGCGCCTCACTTTTGAGAATTCTCAAAAGTGATTTCCATATACTCGTCCCTGCGCCTCACTTTTGAGAATTCTCAAAAGTGATTTCCATATACTCGTCCCTGCGCCTCACTTTTGAGAATTCTCAAAAGTGATTTCCATATACTCGTCCCTGCGCCTCACTTTTGAGAATTCTCAAAAGTGATTTCCATATACTCGTCCCTGCGCCTCACTTTTGAGAATTCTCAAAAGTGATTTCCATATACTCGTCCCTGCGCCTCACTTTTGAGAATTCTCAAAAGTGATTTCCATATACTCGTCCCTGCGCCTCACTTTTGAGAATTCTCAAAAGTGATTTCCATATACTCGTCCCTGCGCCTCACTTACTTTACACCCCCCCATCTCAACCTCACCTCGTTACCATGCTCGTCCCACAACGCAGACCCCGCCCCTGCCCGCCCCGGGTTGCCCTTGGATGCCCCGTCAAACTCCATGTGGTAGAGCGCCTGGGGGGGATGAAAGGCACATGGTGAATCCACGGGGAGAGAACGAGGTAGAGCGCCTGGGTGAATCCACGGGGAGAGAACGAGGTAGAGCGCCTGGGTGAATCCACGGGGAGAGAACGAGGTAGAGCGCCTGGGTGAATCCACGGGGAGAGAACGAGGTAGAGCGCCTGGGTGAATCCACGGGGAGAGAACGAGGTAGAGCGCCTGGGTGAATCCACGGGGAGAAAACGAGGACTTTGTGTGTTGGTTTGAGTTGGATGAGCAGGGGAGAGAGAGAGACCGCCAGGCATTCCCCTTGCATGTGCCGTCAAACTCGAATATCAAAAGCAGCATCGAAATCCATTCGGTAGAGTGCGGTTGGAGGGCCAGGGCCTCTATCTATGCATGGCCGCATCCGCATGTCCTCTCCCCTCTTCTCTTCGGGTGGTCGTTCGAACGTCCTCCCCTCTTCTCACTTCCAATCCACGTTTGAATCGACTGAAGGATCGCTTTGAATGACTAACGAAACTCACCTGAGAACCCACCTGAGACTCACCTGAGGGTTTATCTGAAGCCCAAGTGATGCTACGACTGGTCGCATGTCCTCCCCTCTCCTCATCCTCACAGCCCCCTGCCTTCCCGCTACTCTCACTCCCCCCTCCCTCCCCACACCCGCTCCCTCCTCCCCATCCCTCCCTCCTGCAGCAGACCACCCCCTTCCTCCCTGGCTCTCTGCATATCCTCCTCCTATGGTGGCGTGGGGTACAGAGGGGTGGGAGGGAGGGTAAGGAAAAGTGGGAGGGTAGTATTGGAAACCCTCTTAGGGTGGGGTGGGGCGGAGAGGGAGGGAGGGAGGAGGGAAACGTGATAAAAGCGCGTGAGTGTGTGGGAGAGGCAGGGTTTCCAGTTAACCTAGAAAGGACAGTGAGGAGTACAAGTGAAGGACGTGAGTAGGGATAGGGGAAAGGCCCTGGTGGTTTTGTATACTCTCAATTGAGAGTACTGACATTGTGTGTGAGGCATGTTCCTAAGCCAGGACCACTGAGCTGCAGGAACAGGAATGCTAGCAGCAGCAGCAGCAGCAGCAGCAGCAGCAACCGCAGCAAATCACGTAGCAACGGCAGAAGACGAGTACGAACTAGTAGCAAGGTGTGTTTTGAGTCGACTCAAAACACACCTCGAGTACGAACTAGTAGCAAGCAGCTGAACACTTCGGCACTCACCAGCAGCACCAGTGTATACCCCAGTTGCGTAAACAGGAGCAGCCGGAGCAGCATACGTGTACGCGCCAACAGCCGCAGCAGCAGCCGGAGCAGCAGTTGTATACGCGCCAACAGCAGCAGCAGAAGGCATAAAGGCGTGACTTGGAGCCTCAGCGGCTGACGTGAAGGGCGAAGAGACGAAGACGTTAGCCAAGGCGAGGTAGGACCTGGCTTCATCCAATGTGTCAAAGCTCTTGCACTGGTTGCCTTTGAAATTATACACCTGGGGAAGGTTATAACGAGGACAGTGTGTATTCGATATGGTGGACTGGACTGGACTGTGTGTGTATATGCGCTAAGGAAAAGGAGAATGTATTCTCGATAGGAGAACCTGCATTGTTGTCGCCTGGGCTTGGGGGGTGAGAGGTTGGCCTGGGGGTGAGAAACGGACGTTCGTTTTCGAGTAATCTAACACGGTTGTGTTCGGTGTGTGTTGCGTTCTTGGGCAGCAATGCAAGGGAACCGTGCTATAGCATGAGGAACCGAACTGAACCGCACGAGATAGCAAAGATAAAATACCTAGCAAACTGAAACGCCACGTAGTAAAATACCAAACTACAGCTGCTTACCTGTCGTTGACATTCCGGCCACGTCAGATAAATCCCTGGCTGGTGTGTCCCTTCCGAACCGCGTAGTACTTAGTCTTAGCCATTAATATCTACGCCAGTTGCGGCACGCGGCGGTCGTCAGTGATTGCAACGCCGCAACGAAGCGCATTCGCCTCCTAAGCTATTGCGATACGTGCCAACAGCGTCACGCTGCGCCTTACTATGGGAAAATGGTTGGAACGAGTGTGGAATGTGACAAATGGAGATCGTTCGGCTGGAGAAACTGATTGCGATTCCACATGCCAGGGCGAACAGCTGAATGCGGCGTGGTACGGTACATTTAGAATCTGCATGGACTATTTTAGGGTTACACTTTTACAAATATTTACTGACACTAATGTGTATTGATGGCCAGTCTTGTAGGGAAAACTTTCCTACTCATATTACACTCTTGGCTAAGTGTCACTTTCACCCTGTTGATGTTTACTGTCAGCGTAACGCATCAACTGTCATGGACCTGGCTTTCGCAGTATTGGCTGTGACGACTTCTGTCCTCGTCAAAATTGAGATAAGCAGGCACTTGTTGCAGTGCATAAAATTTTCATTCGAATATTGATATTATAAAACACAAGCACACACAGTTGTAGGTGTGACACTTGGCGATTTCCAGCCAATCGTGCACCGTAGAGGCCGCAGCTCATGTGTGCCGGTACGGTACTTGAGGCTCTGTGTTGTGTCAGGAGGAGGCCTTACAGCAATGGAGTTTCGGGGTTCGGCCGCTGCTATTCTGAGTCGACCCATGCCATGAGTCACCTAGTAGTCGTCAGGAGGAGCGAATTTTCGTGGGACTGCTGTATCCGCTGCTGCAATTTCTACAGCCTAGCCGCAGCTAACGTGTGCTTAAAGGAACGTGTTGGTCAGGACTCAGGAGGCTTTAGAGGAACGGATTTTGGGGGGCCGGCCGCGTCTGGGGATGGGCTTGGGGGAGGGTAACGAGGGGGAGGGGGTGGTGCTGGTGCCATGGAGAAACCGGGTTGTGCAGTTAGAGGGGATGATCACCCGTTGGTTCTCTGGATGGGAACAAAGGGGGGGGGGGGGGGAGGGGAGAGGGTGAGGGAAGGGGGAAAGGGAGGGTACGGAGAGGGAGGGGGTGGTGCTGGTGCCGTGCAGAAACCGGGTTGTGCAGTTAGAGGGGATGATCACCCGTTGGTTCTCTGGGTTGGTTCTCTGGTGGAAGGTAATGCAGGGTGGAAAGGGGTGGGAGGAGGGATGGAGGAAGAGAAATGAGAAATGGAGCGGGGTGAGGGATGGAAGATGATCTCACAGTGGTTCTCTGGTTGGGAAAAAAGAGGGAGCGAAGCAGGTAGGGGAGAAAAGGGATGGAGATGGGGGGAGACGGAGGGTTGGAGCCATGAGAGGAAAGAGAAAGAGTTGTGAATGTGGAGGAATGGCCATGAAAAGACAGTACCATTGCTGGCTTTCAGGGTTCTACTTGACCCGCTCGAGGCACGCCCTTATATGATTCGCTTTTGAGAGAATTTCCATGAGTACTAATGCTGGCTTGGTTTGATCTGGGTTTTAGCAGCTACAAGCTTTTACGTTTCTTACAGAACTGACCCGCTTGTGGCATAGCTCAATCCTGGGTGTTATACAAGCTTTTGAGAGATTATAGAACTACTATTAATGGCTTCAAGAGTTCTGACGGACTGACCTTTTAAAGGTACGGCTTCGTTGGAGAGGAGATCTGCCAGCTGGTTGCACTCCTGGGAGGTGGAGAGCAGTGGTGAGAGGTGGTGCAGGGTGGTGAGGGATGATGAGAGGTGAAAATGGGTGAAGAGGGGTGGCAGGGAATAACGAGAAGTGTTTAAGAGAGGATGAGGTGTACATGACACATACTTATGGCACATTGTCTATGACGTATACATACCCATAGAACGAGACACATAACCATGGAACGTAACACATAGCCATAGAACGTGACACATAACCATAGAACGTGACACATGGCACGCGGCATATAGTATGTAACACATGGTACAAACGCACAGTACATGACACATACCCTGGGCACATGGCGGATGGAGATTTCTTTGAACCGAGATACCAGCTCCTGTGCTTGCTTGCACTCCTCCCTCAGCATCTCCGCATTCACCTTCCACTTCTTCTGCACCTGTGGGTGTGTTGATGAGGAGGGGAGGAGCGGTATGTGTGCATCATGTATGTGAGTGGCATGTGTGTGTGGTATGTGTGTGGTATGTGTGTGGTATGTGTGTGTGGTATGTGTGTGTGGTATGTGTGTGGTATGTGTGTGTGGTATGTGTGTGTGGTATGTGTGTGTGGTATGTGTGTGTGGTATGTGTGTGTGGTATGTGTGTGTGGTATGTGTGTGGTATGTGTGTGTGGTATGTGTGTGTGGTATGTGTGTGGTATGTGTGTGTGGTATGTGTGTGTGGTATGTGTGTGTGGTATGTGTGTGGTATGTGTGTGTGGTATGTGTGTGGTATGTGTGTGTGGTATGTGTGTGGTATATGTGTGTGGTATGTGTGTGGTATGTGTGTGTGGTATGTGTGTGGTATGTGTGTGTGGTATGTGTGTGTGGTATGTGTGTGTGGTATGTGAGTGTGGTATGTGTGTGTGGTATGTGTGTGGTATGTGTGTCAGTCTTTGCATGTGCGTGCTTGCACGGCTCCCTCAGCATCTCTGCATTCACCTTCCACTTGTTCGGCACCTGTGGGTGCGTGTGTGTGGGGAGCGGGAGGGTGCCATGTGTGTGTGTGTGTGTGTGTGTGTGTGTGTGTGTGTGTGACCACGAGCATGGAGTCCCCGTGCAAGTGCAGCCGTGTGATGCCAAGAGCCAGTGCCAACTCGACAAGCGGTGCCCGATGTCATACACGTTCCACCTCACCATCCCACCCACCTGCATGACCACGAGCATGGAGTCCCCTTGAACGTGCAGCCGGGTGATCCCAAGAGCCAGTGCCAGCTCCAACCCCCCTATGAACGCGCGATACTCTGCCATGTTGCACGTGCCGTGCCCCACGCCCTCCCTCATGCACACCAGCTGGTGGGTGGGAAGTGGGGAGCACGAGGAGAAGAAGGGGGAGATGAAGGGGGAAGGGAGCGGAGGAGACAAGAAATTCCACTCCCCCTATGAATGCACGGTACTCTGCCATGTTGCATGTGCCGTGCCCCCCACCCTCCCTCAGACACACCAGCTGGTGGGGTGGGGAGTGGGTGCAGAGAATGGGGAAGAGAGGAAGGAACACACAGGGCAGAGGGATCGGAATAAAATAAAGCCAATCTCGGAAACATCCCTTTGATAAACGGCCATTGCTCCACAATATTGCATGTGCCCCGCTCTTCCAACAGCACCTACCCCACCCCTGCCCGCCCCAGGTCGCCCCTGCTACCCAAAAGCCCACCTCTCTCATCCCAAGGCCCTCCTCACCTCCGTCTCCCCCCCCCCCCCCTCTCTCGCCTCGTCCACAGCACAGAAGCCGCCCCTGCCACACGAAAGCCCACCTCTCACCCACCCCAAAGCCAGCCTCACCTCGTTGCCCCACCCCCCCTCCCTTCTCACCTCGTTGCCCCACCCCACCCCCTCTCCCTTTCTCACCTCGTTGCCTTGGTCATCCCACAAGACGGATCCTGCCCCTGCACGCCCCGGGTTGCCCTTTGAGGCTCCGTCAAACTCCATGCGGTAGAGCGCCTGGTGAGGGCCGAGGAGGGGTGGGGGGGATACACACAGCGAGAAGGGGGAAAACGCATTGAGCAGGGAGGGAGGTGGGAAGCCCACTCCCTTGAACGCGCAGCCCAATGGCCTTTGCAAAGGTCACAAGGGATTTGAGTGAAAAAACGACTCGAGGGACTATCTGAGACTCACCTGCGGGTCTACCAAAGACTGACCTGAGGGTGTATTTGCAAGCCGAATGTTGCTACGTGTGGTCGCATGTCCTCCCCTCTCCTCATTCTCACAGCTCCCTCCTCTGCCACTGCTCCCACTCCCCCCTCTCCCCCCACACTTCCCCCATCCCCCTCCTCCTCGTCCCTCCCTCCTGCAGCAGAAGCCCCCCTTTGTCCCTCGCTCTCTGTGCTTTCTCCTGCTAGGGTAGGGGGGCGATGGAGTGGGGTAGAAAGAGAGGGAGCTTTTCAGTCGACTCAAAATTCACCTTGTCCCTTATTTCCGCATCCTTTCCTCCTGCAGCAGACCCCCCCCTTGCTCCCTCGCTCTCTGTGCTTTCTCCTGCTAGGGTAGGGGGGCGATGGAGTGGGGTAGAAAGAGAGGGAGCTTTTCAGTCGACTCAAAATTCACCTTGTCCCTTATTTCCGCATCCTTTCCTCCTGCAGCAGACCCCTCCCTTGCTCCCTCGCTCTCTGTGCTTTCTCCTCCTGGGGTAGGGGGTTGATGGTGTGGGGTAGAAAGGGAGGGAGAAGGGAAGACGGGAGGTTGATTAGGCTCATAGGGAACGCCCCCTTTCTAGAATTGGGTGGGGTGGGGAGGGAGGGAGAAGGGAAATGTGAGAGGAGGGAGTGAGAGTGAGGAGGAGGCGGAGTGAGAGTGAGAAAGGCAGAGCTTGCAAGCAGCCTAGCAGCAACAGCTAGGAGGGAGAGGAAGGAAGCAGGTGGACAGAAGTCTACTTTTGAGGCGCCTCAAAACTAGGAGGGAGAGGGAGGAGCCAGGTGGACAGAATGAAAGGAAGTGCTGTGCAGGTGGGAGGAAGGACAAGGGAACTTTCTGTGAGGGGAGAAGACTGACTGAAAGAGTGAATGAGAATGCTGGCGACAGCAGCAGCAAGCAACTTATTTGACGGAAGCAGCAAAAGACGCATTAGAAGCAGCAATCCACCAGCAATTAACGTGCAAGCAGCAGCCAAAACACGAACTAGCAGCAACCTAACACTTCAACGCAACTTACCAGTAGCGATACGATCTGCATTCGCAGCAGCATCGGTAGCAGCAGCAACAGCAGCAGCAGCAGCAGAAGCAGCAGCAGGGGTGACACGAGCACGAGCAGGAGGAGCAGGTATAGCGTTTCTTTTTAGAGCGGAAGCAGCAGCGTGTGTGGGGGGAGAGGAGACGAAGACATTTGCCAATGCGAGGTAGGAGAGGGCTTCATCTAGGTTGGTGAAGCTCTTGTGCTGATTGCCCTTGAAATTGGTCACCTGGGTTGGGGAAGAAAGAAAAGAGAAACAAAGGTACAGTGAATGCACAGAGGAGGAGGCTGTTTTGTTGTCCTGGCTCATGGCTTCATCCAAGTTGGTGAAGCTCTTATGCTGATTGCCCTTGAAATTGGTCACCTGGGAGTGAGTGAGTGCACGGGGAGAACAAAAGAAGGTACGGTGAGTGCAAAGGGGAGATGGGAGGTGAGGTAGGAGAGGGTTTCGTCCAAGTTGGTGAAGCTCTTATGCTGATTGCCCTTGAAATTAGTCACATGGGGGAAGCGAAAGAAAGAAGATAGAATAAGGCACAGTGAGTGGACAGATGAGACGGGAGGGTGAGGGCTAGGTGGAAGAGGGATGCATGGTGGGATGGATGGTGGGATGGATGGTGGGATGCATGGTGGGATGGATGGTGGGATGGATGGTGGGATGCGTGGTGGGATGCGTGGTGGGATGCATGGTGGGATGGATGGTGGGATGCACGGTGGGATGCATGGTGGGATGCATGGTGGGATGCATGGTGGGATGCATGGTGGGATGAATGGTGGGATGCATGGTGGGATGCACGGTGGGATGCATGGTGGATGCATGGTGGGATGCATGGTGGGATGGATGGTGGGATGGATGGGGGGATGCAAGGCGCGATCCCAACTGCTCACCTGCCGTTGGCATTCTGGCCACGTCAGATATATCCCGGGCTGATGACCTTTCCGAACCGCGTAATACTTATTCTTAGAACCCTCTTTCCCGCCACAAGACGGCTTGGGCTTCGTCATTGCCTTCTGCGCCAATTGCGTCACGCGGCGGCTCGACAGGGCTTGAAGCGCCGCGGCGAGGCGCATTCGCCCCTCCGCGACGACAAGCTACGTTTTTTCAGTGTATGAATCGCGCCGGTATTCGCGCTTCGCGCGGCTCTGACCGATGGACACTTAGGGCTGCTGCGATTTCAAATTACTTGTCCGATCGCAAATTTCCCACACAGCATCTCGCTAACACATAACCCGAGAATCGATTATCGCCGCCCGTTGTCGCTCACAACGACGGCGTTTCTAGACGAACGGCTAGCAGGCAAACAACAGTCCCTCTGTCCGAGTCTCGTATCGCCTGACAGGGTTCAGAAACGGCCAGCGTTCGCACTCCCCCGTCCTAGCGAATTCGTGTGGTCGTCACGATTATGCTGTACTTGCAGCTCTTTTTCCCCACCTCGTCCAGCCGAGACAAACTTGATTACAGTTGAGAAATCACTAGAATAAGAAGGGTGTCACAAAAGTTAATTTCTTATGTTCTGTCTAAACCCTGACTTTTTTACCGCTTGGAACCGCTATTAACCGTCTTGAACAAGGTTGCAAATTGGGTTTGGGACACCCGAACAAATTCGGGTCACTAGCATTGATGGGGAGAGCAATAGGGGGGTGGGGTATTGGGCTGTGCGGCAAGGGGAAAGGGACAGCTGGTCGGTTCGAAGTCCTTCCTGGAAACAGGGGTCATGGATAAACCATTCAGGGAAGCTCCAGATTCCAGATCCAACCATTCAGAGTCAGGGCTGATTTTAGTGCAGTAGAGCTAATCCAGGGCAGTCAGGGAGAATGCCCCTGGAACTACCGACCTTCTTGTGTAATTTCTCCCTTCCCCAACTTTCTCAAACCACCACCAGGTCTGGTTCACACGCTCAGTTTGTCCGTCTGTCTCTAGGTGGTACGCAGACGACATGGCTAAGCGAGTCCCAAACAGTGCGAAAAGCTGCTTCCAGAACTTTGAGGTGAATCGAGGGTCGCGGTCGGAAATAATCGAATCTGGAACCCCGTGCAGTCGGACTACGTTATCTACGAACAGTGTCACGGCTTCCTCTGCTGTGACCTGACCGTGCGTGGGGATGAAATGCGCTGCTCGAGAAAACTTATCCACTACCACGAAGATGGCGTCGTTGTGACAATTGGAACGAGAAATGAATGCATTGAGCAGCATGGGAGTACAAGTACCAAACCCTAGAATGTTGTACCCCATATGAGCTACCCCACTACAGCCTACACAGACTATAGTGTATAAGTTTGACACACCCCCATAGGCAAAGTGGGGGAGAACAAGGGGTCACAAGACCAGTCAAGCAAAGCAAGGCAAAGCAAGCTCAGGGTGGATCACAACGTCACCACACAGTCTGAGCACAAGTTCAAGGCCACAAGGCCAGTTCACATGCAAGGTCACATATATATAAAGCTAAACAGGCAGGTATATATATGTAACAGTACAAGCAAGGTCAAGAAGTAAGCAAGTGAGGCAAGGTAGGTACAAGACCTAACAGAGTGCAGAAGCGCTGATGATCACAAGGCGCGAGTGCCTTAGTGAAGATATCAGCAGTGTTGGCCTCAGAGGCCACGTAAGCAAGGCGCAGCTGACCACGCTGCTGCAGCTCACGAGCAAGAAAGTAGCGGAGAGCGATGTGCTTCGTTCTGTGCTCCAGTCTGTGCTCATGACACAAGGCCAGCATGGCCTTGTTGTCTACGTACAGCACTGGAGGAGAACGAGGCGGCTCTCCCAGGTCAGTCAGCAGGTAGGTGAGCCAGCGTAGCTCCTGTGCAGCCATGGCCCCTGCGTAGATCTCAGCCTCACAACTGGAGCCGAGAACAGAAGACGAGCGGGTAGACCGCCAAGAAACAGAGCCGGAACCAAGGCTGAAGGTGTAACCCTGTGACGACCGCTGCGTAGCCTGGTCGTCAGCCCAAGAAGCGTCTGCGTGACCAGTGAGGACCACTGAACTATGCCCTCCAAGCACAAGCCTTATGCCCGACGTACTGCACAAGTAGCGCAACACCCTCTTCGCTGCAGCCATGTGCTCTGGTCTGTGTCTCCCAGGAGCAACAAAGCGTGCCAGAATGCTAAGAGGGTATGCAAGGTCAGGTCGAGTGCAGGTCATCAGGTACATGAGGCAGCCGACAAGCTCTGGGTACGGGCCACTCGACTCTACGGACTCATCCGAAGGCAGAGCTGAGAGCGAGTGGCGCGTAGGCAGAGGAGTGGCCTGAGGCGAGGAGTACGTGAAGCCGAAGCGCTGAAGGACCTGCTACACCATGTGTGACTGAGTCAGGGTAATGGTGCGCTGTGCTCTGTCCCTGGTGATCTGCAAGCCAAGGTAGCTGCGCAGTTCACCCAGGTCTGTGCACGTGTGTCTCTTCTGCAGCTCGGACTTCACGTAGGCAAGTCCAGCAGTGTCAGCTGTAGCAAAGACCAAGTCGTCGACGTACACGAGGATGTAGAACGGCGGCAAAGAAGTGTCGGTGCGCAGAAACAGCGACGGGTCGGCAGTAGAAGGAGCAAACCCAAGGGCCGCAAGTGTAGTCTTCAGTGTGTCGTGCCACTCACGCGGCGCCTGGCGGAGACCGTAGACTGGCCGCCGGAGGCTCCACTGGGTGCCAGGAGGAAACGTCCCAGTGAAGCCAGGTGGGTGGCGCAGCCAGATCTCCTCGTGAAGGCTGCCCTGCAAGAAAGCAGTGCTGAAGTCAAGAGAGTGCAGCTCGTAGTCTCGGTGAGCAGCTATGTGCAGCAGTACCCGAAGAGTGGTCATCTTCGGGGTGGGGGAGAAAGTCTGAAAGTAGTCAACTCCCTGCCGCTGACTGAAACCACGAGCCACGTAACGCGCCTTGAAGACAGGCGGAGAACCCGGCGGCCGCTTCACCCTGAAAATCCACATGCCACTGACGATGTTCGCCCCAGGCGGGGGAACCTCGTCAACGTAGGTGCCTGTGGACTTCCAGGAAGCCATCTCTGCATCCATGGCTGCCTGCCACTGAGAGGAGT